CTTACTATCGTATCATATAAATATTTACAGATACACAGAACATCTAACATCCTAATCCAAATTTGAAATTTATGTTTATTTAAAGTATTAACCTATAATTGGAAACGAAAGTTTTCGGCTCGTTCACCAAATATGGTCTAATGTTTTCTGAATTTTTATATGATACGATAGTAAGAGTAATTTGAAGTAAATGAATTTGACCTTTGGCTAAATAGATGTGCCCTCGTATATTATATGAACCCTGTCTTACCGAAGTGTTAGCTTAATTAACGAAAATATTTAGAAATGATGTAAAATTAAAATAATGCAACTTTATATAAACACTAAGCTGTAACCGCGGCTTTACCCGCTTGGAAACCAGTTTGTGACTCTAAGGGACATCATCAGTGGATTTCGTGTTGATGTAGATAATAATATTATCATTTGCTTCACCATTATCATCTCTTTCTATATTCAGTCAATCTTTGCAAATCTCAAACACTAGAGCAACCTTCATCTCCAATTCTTTGCGAACAATAATCTCCAGTCTACCTTTACCCTTTTTAACTGCTTCTAATATATCTCTAACTACCCCTTCATGCCCGATGCCTGGTCATATAAATTTACAATGAAAAATTTTATATTGCAGTAGAGGTAGTATATCGCCATCTAGTGGGTATTTGCTGCTAAGAAGTATATTATGCATTAGGCAAGGCCTTACTAAGATATCAGCTCGCCTAACTGAATCATATTGTATACGTGATAAATATTTTAATAAGAACCTTTATTTTAAGTTCTTAGTCACAAATTAATCGGAACTACTAGACGCGGATCGCAATTTCGATCTCGTCAGCGCGCCATAAACAGTCTCAATAAATAACTTCCCAAACCGATGAAGCTCCTAAAAATCTAGTTTGTATAGGTAATATCCAAGCATAAGCAGTAATCGCCATCTAAAGGGTATTTACTGCTACTGAAGTATTTCATACGTTACACAAGGCATTTAAAGAAAATTGTTAAATAAAAGAAGAAAATATTTCGCACCATGTTTAAATCGTATAGTCAATAATCCGAAGAATCGCTAAACACACATCTTACTATCTTGGTGACTTCCATACGCAAGGAGTTGGAGAAAGAGGTTGGAGAAATAGGTACTCTTTCCAACACTTCTTCCTTGTTCATCCACGGTATTTTCATTATCCTGCTATAACTCTACATCTTTCTTTTTTTGGTAGCTGAGGAAACAAAATTCGAATGAAACTGACATAAAGATCAAGGGCTTTTGCTTCTAAACAATAACGACCGCTTGGGCTGATCTGCAGCTGAGCCACACTCAAGTGGTCAAAGAGCCACGTATGGCTCACGGACCACGGTTTGCCGACCACTGTTCTAGACCATAAAGAAATGGTATATTTCTGTTTCAATCCTATATCAACAGGAACAAACGTCTTGCTGCAGAAAAAAGACTTGTACTTGACAATTTTCCATACAAATATTTCCTTTAGTAATTTTTTTTTCAAACTTCAATAAATCATAAAAGAATTACTGTTGTCGTAGTAGACACATACATATATTCATCCCTGAAAATTACATGAGTAATCTTTGACCTTATTATTTTCAAATTTGAAAAGTCCAACTAACTAT